GAATGGTTAACTTCCCAATTGGTTCCAAATATGGTCCAAGGTTTCGAAGATAGCAACACACTTAAAAGCACAAGCTACACAACTACACACATACCAATTGGTTATCGGCATCCGGTTTCCGATTTGCCTGTCACTGTGGCCAGTCACAGGACGCCTGCGGCTACAGAGGGACCATAGGTGGCTTGCGATGCACCACCCACAGCTCCAACCACACCCCATATCCAGTATAAACCCAAAGGAATAAGACCGGGAGGCATGTGGATGGGAGCCACGTTTCATCATCGGAGCCGGACCACACTCCTTCACAGGCAAACACAAGCACGCCGTATTTAGGGAATCAAGCGCACACAAGGCGGTGGCTGGACCGTAGTCCGCTCCACACTGAGTGCATGGAACCGCTCTTTGAGCCTAGCACGGCCACAAGGACTGTGCACCCCGTCCCCTCCAGCAACGACCAACTGTCTCCTAGAGCCAGTATGAACGAGGTAGTGGGTAATAGACAGGTAGGCACCTTGTCAACATGCACATCAAGCGCAGCCACACCGGGGATATCAAGCAACTGTCATTCACTTTAAACGACAAGCTGAAATAAAATAAATCCAATAATGCATACAGATACGGTGGCATAACTCTTCGCTAAATTACCATATGAAGTAAGTTGGTTAGCAACAAATCCGCGATAAGTAAGAAATGTCCACCAATTACTTACAAATGCTACAAAGGCAACAAAATTACCGAAGAAAAGCGCAATTAGCGTAAACAACGTGGCCAGTTAATGGAAGATTATTCAGGTAAGCAGAACAAACCAAGTAAAGTGGAATGAAATTTATCCAGCCTAAAAAGACCTAGTTTAAGTGTAAGTTGGTTTAGCCCAACTGTGGTGAAGAAGCATCAAGAATGCAACCTCAGCCTCAGCATGGGGCACATACATAACAATTACATATCTATATACACCAATACACATACATCCACTGTCATATAAAACATGTATTTTTGTACATTTTTGGCCACACTTTGTTATGTTAACAGGATCGTGCCTGTAAAAGTGTGCCTCACGTTGTCGAAAATAAAAAGTTTATATATTTATTGTTTATTCACCAGTTTGTTTTTTAAGCTGCGTAGAGTTTGGCGAGTGCATTAAGTCGGTAGTTCTTTATAAAGTTTGGAGCATTCCAATCCAATTTCTACTAGCACTGCGGATGTCTGGTCTTCAACCTGGGTCGGTCTGTCGCATCTCTGAGCCAACGCAGCTACGCACCTGTGAGCATTGGAAAATACTTATCACGAGTAAACTAGCAGGTTTATGACGTTCCGTAGGGTGGTTGAGGTAAAAACTACAAAGAAAAAAGTTATGCGATTAAGATGCTTAAAGAGAAATCGAGTTAAATACGTTTCTGAATACTGGCAGTGTGAAAAATAGATGTTCTATGCAATCATGCATAATAACATAAGGCGCAGTGATAGCTGACGTATTGTATAAGAACGATACGAAAAGGATCGCTTTTTGGCGGAAGCCATGTTATTCCGAGACTATTATGCTTGGGTTTTCCAGATACTACATCACGCATCTGCGGTGGTTAATTCCATAACTGTGAAAAGCACAGGAAGCAGAATTACTAGATGGTAATTGGTGGTTAAGTGAGACTACCTGCCTTGTGCATAGGAGTGATGACCCCTCGCTTCTATACTGGTGGAATTTTCTTGTCCTGTAAACATCACTGATAGAAAATAGTCATCGATCCTGCCAACTCAATGGCTGCTGCCTGTAGAGGCTTGGGCCAAATAGTATCGGCACCAGGATGGCTGTGGGTACGTACAGACAACCACTTATTCAATGCAGCTTCCGCAGTAAAGGTAATGTTGGATAAACCTCACGGTGGGACAACAGAAACAAGGAGAAGCGTCGGGCTTGTTGCCCTCTGAAACGTATGAGTAATTGAACCGTAAAATAACAGCTGCTTCCTTTTCTGATTGTGCGTACCAGGCAATCGTGACTAGTACTGGGGTTCCGCACTTCTCCTTACGAAGGCCATTAACGTGCCTGTACCGAAGTTTACGGTTCGTGCAGCATCGCTCCGTTAATTTCTGCCACTGCCTAACCTTGTCCTCGCAAATCAATTCCACACAGAATTTACTCAATGCCACGTACGCATTCAAGGTGTCGGCATTCAGGCAGCCTTTGTGAGCTCGCCATGCCAAATCCCTCAGGGACATAAAATTACGTGTCCTGCTCTTCAGAAATCACGCTTTTGCTTTGTTGATGAAAAGAATGCTGTGCCGATGCGTGTGCTGCCAGTGTGTTAATGTCCTTGTGAACGTTTCTCAGGCGACTTTTGGTAAGTATTCAGTTACGAAGGTCCAAGATGTATCGTTAACGAGCGTAGATGTCACCTTGTGGTGTGCGATAGTATATGTTTCATCGTCATTCCCTTCAGGATATGCCCCATAGCATAGATAGTCAAACAGTAGAGTAACTGGTCAGTGCCCCCCCAATGGTGTGCTTGCAACTATTCCGTTGACAATGAGCTTTTCGTTGGTAAGCACAAGATCCAGTAAAGACGGTCCTTTAGCAGTTCGTAATTCGGTGAGATAGGTGACGGTGTACAGAAGTTAGCTGGAAATTATCTTTTATAAACAGGCAAAACTGTGCATCATCTGTTGCTGGTGTTTTCATCTCGCGCACATTAAAGTCTTCAGCGATAAGAATGTGACTTTATGATTTGCTCAAGGAAAGTTTTAAAACGTGGTTTAGTTTGGAATCCTTTTCCGATGTAGAATTTGGTAGACGGTAAATTACAGCTACATGTGTCTTTGTTTCGCAACCCTTAGCAGCACCAAAGCGCGACAGAGGTGCGAATGTCCGGATGAATAAGAATTTCACATTAGAGCTTAGCCTTGTGAAAGCGAATCAAAATACCACCTTTTCCAGTTCTGTCATTCCAAAGCATCGACATATCAAGTAAATTGATCACAGGATCAGTTATCACGAGGTGTAACCAGGTCTCTGTAATCACGCAAAGCTTTTGTGGTCTGACGTTCTCTATGTTAGGCCAACTTACTAAGAAGACTTGGTGCGTTAGTGTACGAACAGCATGGTATTTTTAACGTTAGAAATGCGTTGGTCGACGTCAACTTCGGGTCTGGCTTTATGCCGACCTTTAAGTGGTCGGCCTCTAATCGTGTTTTCGCTGGGTCGTCGCTTGTTAAAATTCATTAAAGCTGCATAACAGCACAGAGTGCTCCATTTCGCGATGTTCACTTCTACGTCGCTCTGTCCTTGCTGGTTCAGCGAGTGCTGTTGTGTCTACCGCTCCGCAGGACTGTGGAAGTAAAGGCTTTAGTAAGTTTACAATTGCCATAGAATTGTTGATCACTTGGCTGCGCACCTGCTACTTTTAGCTTGTTCTTGGTTGGCAACCTTTCGCTAAACTTTAACCAGTTGACCGATAAGAATTTTGTCTTTCCTTCGGAGTTTAGCACTACTTACATTAATCTCTGACAACAGCCCTTGTAGTTAGGTAATGAATGAATTCCTTTCAACTATTTAGCGATAACCACGTCCAGAGAGAATGTTTGGCAGATGCAACACCACTGCTCTATACTATGTGAATGTCGGTTTCCGCAGGGTCTATCCTAGCACGCTGTACCCAAACTTTGTCGTTCAGCTTGGCAATAGTGCTGACTAACGCTAGATTACTATTCTGTGGGGTAAGCAAGGACGTAAACGCGTCCTGTCACGTCCACGAGTTGTTGTCGACGCGGTAGGAAAGGTCACGCGGTTTATCTCTCTCTGCTACGAAAATGAGGGGATATCTCTTGGCGTTCGTTGTCGTGTCATGTTGGTAGAGTGCGGTTGTGTTTGTGCTGCACTCACAAGATGGTGTACTTGACGGGACCTTCATGGTTCTATCTATTGTTGACAAGGCAAATTCGCCCAGATGTTGAGTGGAGTTCGCTAAGGATGCAAAGTCATTTAATCCGTAGCTGCTCACACATGGTTAAAATGGAACGCTTGATAGCTTGTTTGACTACTGCTGGAATTCTGTATCGAATGAAACCGAAATTGGAGTTTGCTGATTGAACTTACGCAACTTTGGGTACCTAGGTATTGGGGAAACACTGCCCTGAGTTTTGAATCTCGCGTAAATGTAGGATGTACTGGTACTGTTCTCGAGAAAATTGCATCACTAGGTGAAGCATGTCAAATCGAGACGTACAAGTATATAACCAGTGGTGTGTGACATGATGCCGCAAGGTAAAGGGAAAACCGAGTGCACGTATATGCCGGAAACACGGCTAGGTTGACCAACGATGGAAGCAATGCGGGCCGCCATTGTATTCACCATGGCATCGTATAAGGAAGGGTTTCTGACGCGAGCGATTTTGTGGGCCTCACTTCGGAAGACGGCTTGCACCAGCGCGATCAAATACTTCTGTCAGTTTTTCACTGTCTTTTTGTCACCTGATCGTTTGATAATGCTGAGTTTGTACCCAGTTAAAGTAGAGCGCTGCATACTCTTTTTCGTCTGATGCCTATCGCCTAACTTCCCAACTGTTAGCATATACCCAGGGTCGGACCGTTCCCGCTGCATTCAGTCCAATGCAAATGAGCGAATTTCGTTTACATCCACTCAGCTGTTCGCAACTCGTAGAAATTCACAGCACCTAGCTGTGTAACCGGTTAAGCTACCTAATCCCGCATACTAAAAGCGTGTAGCTTTACCCAACCCCGAATAGTCGCATAAGCATTATTCGCGAACGGAGAATCTTCAGCTGTACATAGCACTAGGGACTCCAAATATGTATACCGGCAGCACTATCACATGCATAGGTTATTTTCTATTTTTAACAAAATGGCCTTATTAGCTATATTAGCAGTGTCATTGATCGTCTGTATCTTACTCATTAGTAAGGGTCGTTAATTATGCGGAGCGCATAGTACAGTGCTTATTAGATAGTGTTACCTGTTGTTCAAACTACCTTTTTTCCTTTCCAACTAGTATGGAGGAAAGGATATTCTACTTCGAAGTTGGAAGAATCTCTCGGAATACATCACTTTACACGTAAGCGAGCAGCTCCACTTGGTTGTACGGCTTTCACTGACCTTATAGTTTACGTAGGGTAAATCCCATAAGTCAGACTGGTCATGCGCAAATTATCTGACTATACAATAAAAACAAATAACCGTTTGTATTACCTTTAGACGTTCCGCTCAAAGACAGATTCAGTTCATTCCTTAACTCTTCACCTGAAGATGGCTCGGGTAGAATTTATATTGGTATGTTAGGAATACCAGCTTTCCTGAAAAGGACTTAATTTTCTAGACTGTATCAAAGGCGTTCCTGACTGCCTCTGCATCATTACATTTTCCCTGTTGGTTCGTTTTTACACTGTAAGGACAACTGCTTCCGCCACGCATTTCTGATTGGTATTTTACGCTTTATTTATTTGAAACACTGCAAGATTGCAGTACAGCTATATTTTGATCCGCAGTGCGCCGGTCTTGTGTTGTTTACATCTTTGGGGGTTAGAACACGGTGAAGACAATCGCTCAACTAAGGCAGTCTGCGATCCTATGCGATCACCATTGGTTAACAGTGTTTAGCATCCTTCACCTGGGTCAAATACATAACAGCGCAATCTGCTGGCTATCAACCAGGGGCCCACGCCGCTCTGATAATTTGGGTCGGGAACTACCACTGTCACAGTTCCTCAGATATTACAAAGTACAAAATGAGATACGGATGCCCCCATTTCATAGAGTGTAGCAGAATGTGATAATGGTATGATAAGACCTAGCTAACAGCAAATTGCCTTTGCTTCTGACAACAGTGACCCGAAGTTCTGTCAGGTTCTTTCCTCTTACGTGTGGAAAAAGCAGGCAAACATTGCCGCCGACTGAGGGTCACGAGGCACCTAGGGCAAATGTAGCTCTCATTACCATATCTCGGACAGTGTCATGATGTCATGGTGCCATGATGATGATATTCTACATGGTGTTAACCGCTGCAATGGGATAACAAGAATTGTGTTTCGAGTTATAAGTACAGGATACAGTATGCAACACCCGAAGTCAGATGTCTATATTACTTAGCCCTATCGGCTGCGCGATGTGGTAAGTGGTAAGTACGTGGTTAGTAAGTAAGTAAGTGGTAAGTAAGCTCCCAACGTTTTATGCAAACAAAGCACTCAGAAGAGTATCCTTATAGTGATGTCTGCTTAACCGCACACATACTGGTAGCTCGATTGATGCAAAGCTGACGGTAAAACGGTGGCAGCCGCTTCGACCAACTTATGTAGAAGTGCCCTACTACCGCATTAAACCAATACAATGGAACAATGGAGCAATGGATTTATGCGGGTATAAAAGCTAAAGCTTGACAAATCCCGTAGGGTGATCAATGCTTAGATGTGAGATGGCGTTTGTTTGTTATTACGTTATTGATGCGCGAGCACGAAAATTTTTATACATGATTATGTAAGCTACAACAGATCAGCTACTCACAGTCAGGAAGTATACTATTATTTTTATTTAATTATTTGTTGTTTACTTGCACATTGTGAAGTATGTAAGTCCTTTGTTGTGTCTGCAAGGAGCATACGCCGTCCCGCTTCTTTATCTCAGTTGCACTCTCATATTCACGTTTCCTATTTCTTTCCAATCACGGCCCCCCAGTGTGACGGAAACGATTTTACCCCACTGATCCGCAGCTTGAAGCCACATGTGCTACTGTTTCTTAACATTCCCAAGTAAGCATTCTTCTCCTGACGCTTGCGGTAAGTTCACTTGTCTTGTGAATTTGTTAAGATGATGCAGCTGATCAGAATACCACTCTCACCGACGACCGGCAGGGAAGGCAGGATGCCGGACAAGCATTTACTTCGACGATAAATCCATTCCCCGGTTAATTGCATAAAAAATGAACCAATTATGAAAGTTCGGGTCCTCTACCAATTATTCGCAATTTGTCACGATGCACAGGTAATTAAGGAAGTTGGTATAGGCATCTGCCTCAATTAGGCGCTACGCATTGCTAATTTACAGTTTGGTGGACTGCGTGATGTGTGTGATATATGTTCGACGCAAACAAGAAGAAATCAAAAACGCGCTTTACCCAGAGTCGACACGAATGCGATACGTACACTGACGCTGCACATTTTCAAATTTCCGGGACCAGCTCACATGATTAGAATTGGTTAGATGCTCCGGCGCATTTGTCCACTGTGACAACCGTACCGCTGCCGGGATTAGTTTAACCATAAGCATGCTCACTTGCCAAGTACTTGCGCATGGCAAACAAAGTTTCAGGTATAACTGTCATCGGGAGTTATGTTAGCATGACGCATCGAATCGTGAAAATGCGAACCAACGACCTTATAAATTGAGACACGGCTATACTGTGCAGCCCCCCCCCCCCGAGATACGAAATTGCCATGATTGTACAATTCGGAACCTACCATACAAATGCACAATATCAACCCTAGTTACTGAAAAACTAGGGCAACTGGATTTATTTAAACAAATGCTTTCAATGCTAACAACCATGCAGTCATGCGACATCACTCTCGCCCTGAAGGGCAGAGTTTATAATGCAGGTGTCCGTTCAACACTTCTATACACTTGTTAAATCTGGCCCGTAAACTCGACAGACTCAAATAACCTGCTTACGTTCGACCATGAATGTCTTCGCGGCTTAGGTCATGTCTGGTCATCATCATTATGCACCATGCCTAGTGGTAGGAAACACCGCAGCTATTGTGTCGCAATACATAAGAAAAGAAAAAGCACCATAGGTACACGCCAGCTGAGCTAAAAGTAACGGTTGGGCATGGTTCCGGAAAGGTACCAGCCGGCTGCAATGCAGCTAACAAACTTTTATTAAGTGAAAGTTGTATTATGCTAATAAATTCAATTGTGATTGGAGGTGGAGGCTAAGAAGAATGGGGAGGGACCGAGACACACACAATTCACGGCTTTTATCCATGTCAGCAAGCATATCCAACCAAATATGTTCATCGTCTTTCGGTCCCCAACCAGGGAGCCGAGAGGATCCAACCGAGACCGAGGACGAAGCAAGTCCCTCGTTGCTCTCGACTAACTCAGCACTTGGCCGTCCTGCTCTTCCTCCATCCACACCCCCGGCGCACAGATAAAGCACGTAGCGGGAGTCGGTGGACTGGCATGCATAACACGTGGCCGAGCCCTTGGAGCCTGGTAGGGGAAGTAACGATGCTGAGTGCTTCAGTTCTTCTTCTTGCGCCACAAACTAGGCGTCCAACTCGCTCGTTGCTAGCACGATGTTCCCACCAGATATGAGCCAAATTGCGAAGGCACTAGTGGCCGAACGTAACCAGTCTCCTTATACCTGCTGATCTAATGGGCTAAGTTTTACACCTGTAAAGGTGTGTAGAAAAGACGGCTGCGTTGTACACTCTACGCTTCATGGAGAGGTTGATGTCGCGCCGGCGCTAAATGTGGCGACGGTTAACAAAAGCACCTCGAGCTTTTGCCATACGTCTTGTGATCTCGTCTTCGATCCCAAGGGAGTTGGTAAAACTGCTTAGGTAGTTAAATTTTTGAACGGCTTCCAGCTGATCCTCACCAAGCGACAGCGCAGAGGGCGGTCACTGCCAAGCTTGAAGGCAAGCTTTGCACTTCGAGGGTGCAAACTATAGCCTGAAATGGCTAACAACCTGTGCTACTCTGTCTACTATCGCCTGGCACGATGGCAGCTATTGCAGATCAAGGAAATATCGTCAGCATATTACAAGTCCAGAAGTCGTCTGTTTGGGAGCAGCTCCACACGCTTTATGTCGGGTTCTGTTGATGCAATCTCCATGCCTTCGTCGATTGTGAAGTTGAAGAAGAAAGGTGACAGCGGGCATCCGTATCTTACCCCGCTGGAGATATTGAATGGCGGCGACAGCTTGCCGTGAGCCCTCACTCTGCCCGAGCTTCGCGCGTATAACACACGGATAATACTTATATATTTGCAGAGCAAACCATTCCCTAGTAGAAAGTCCGAAAAGGCTTATCGATCCAGCGAGTTGAAGGCACCTTTGATATCGAGGAACACGACAGCGGTTGGTTGCCAACATACGTGACGGTGCTCCAACAATTGACACAACGTGAAGATGTGTTCGATTCAGCCTCGACATCGTCGAAACGCAGCTTACTCTTCAAGTATCTGACTTTCCCGGTTGCCAGTCAGTGAAGCATGACAGAGGCAAAATCGGGGGGAAATAGAGATCAAACTGATTCCTCTATGGTATCCGCATTGTGATCGTAAGCCTCCCCAGAAAATTGGGAAAATAACGGAGCGGCTCCAGTCTGTCGGGACAATTTCCTGCTCCCACAGTTTCACAATTAACTCGTGTAAATCACCCACAGGAGCAGGGGCCCCGGCTTTGAAGAGGGCTGGGGGAAGATCATCTGGTTCCACTGCTTTATTCAACTTCAGGAGTCTGATCTCACTTTCGACTTCTGAGTGAGAGGGATGATCTATAGGGATAGTCCAGGGAGGTGGGCGATCACTGGCCGCGAAGAAATCTGACAATTCTGGCCGAGTAAATTGCTTTCCAAAATGGTCAGCCAACGCTCCAAGTGTTTTGACAAGTTGTGAATAGGCTGTCCACTCTCGTCACGTACAGTTTCACTAACACCAAGTCTCCTGCTGCCCGTTTCCCGTATCAGACAATATAACTTTCGATGATTACCAAGACCAGCGGGCAGTTCCCTCACTTATTCTCGATGAAACCACCAAGGTTCGTAGTATGGCTTCAGGATAGCACAGTGTTTTGTCGCCGCTAACTGTTCACGCCCCCACGACCGCAGGAAGAGCACGAAAATGAGCCAGGACTGAATTATATGCATGAGAACACTGCTTCCTTATATACGGTACAATAGTTTATGAGGCAAAGGCACTTAAATATGTTAAGGCCGGGCAACATTAGAGGAAACAATGAGTAATACGAGCGAATGAGTAGTAAAAAACGAACAAACCAATCATTCGAGTCCAAAGAACCGCCGTTAGCAGAAATAGACCCCTGCGATAGCGTCCATTTTGAACGACTTAGGCCAGCCAATCGAGGCAAAGGAATGATGCTTTTAAACAAGTACCAAAAAGTAAACAATGGCGACACGGAATCAGGCGACTAAGAATATCAGCGAAACATATGTCCGTTGAGAATCCCCTAACACTTCCCTCTTCTTGAAACTTAGTTACCTGAGAGGTATGTAGCTTTTCCTTCGGCGTTCCACTTGGAATGGCTGAACTAACTGTGTCTCCTTTCCGGCCTCCCTTGTGTTCCATTTCCCGGATTTTCCAAAGGCTGTGTGCATTGTCTGACGAAATCCATCGGTTTGCCATTGTCCAGTATTTCAATAAAATCAAGTTCCTTGGTGTAATGTGTCATTGTTTTCATTATGTAGCGTAACCTTATTTCATAGACATGGTGGACTCCCACCTGCTTACCAACATGGTTCTCATACATCCTCCGACCACGGCCCCATACGACGATACCAGGTGTGCATTTGATCCTTTTCCCTGCTGTGAGACGACAAACACCTGGGCTCCGACTTCAGAATCCCTGCATCACGCTCCGTGTGGGTTACAGTGCCGGGTTTCCCTTATGGGCGTTGTACGGTGCGTTGGTTGACGTTTGAGAATCAGTAAGTCCAAAGTCGTTCTTAGTCTTCGACCCATAAATGTTTCCGCAGGCGACTTCCCAGCTGGCGCGTGTGGATTCGGAGCAACTCAATAATTCAATAAGAATGTCTCTAACCTTTCTTCTAGCGTCCTTTCCTTCTTCGATCGCAACAGCACTCGCTTCATGGTATTCACAAATTGCTCGGCATGTCCATTAGATTGCCTATGCTTTGGTACAGTCTTCAGGTGTTTGATTTCATCGTGTGCACAAAACTCAGCAAACTGATGAGGCGTGAATTGCGGCCCGTTATCCAACACAATGGTTTCTGGTGAACATGCTGGCTGAAACTGCGCCTCAATGCGTGTAGTGTACTGCTTGCTGACGTGTTCTGCATCATGGTTATTTCCGGCCACCTATAGGCATCGATAACTATGAGGAACGAAAGTTCCTCAACCGGCCCCGCAATCTTCACATGAATCCGTGACCATGGTGACTCCGGCGTTGGCCAAGGCTGCAGTGTCATGCGTACCGCAGGCTTGCAAGCATACGTGTATCTTGAATAGGTACGACGAATATTCTCTAGCTGGTTGTCAAATTTCAGCCCAAAGAGGTAGCTCAGACCCAATGCCTTCATTCGGGCAATTCTTGGATGACTTTTGGTGTTGTTTTATACGCGTTTCCGCAGGACTTCAGTTATGATGATGCGATCAGCGAAGAACAGACGGGAGTCCATTTCTGACAAATAATCGCGTCACGTGTAAAACGGGACAAATTCTTCTTTTGGACATTTGCTTGACCAGCTATGTCTAATGTAGGTCAGGACTTCTTGTAACAGTGGATGACGTCTTGTGGCTTCCTGAATCATTTTGGCATTGACCAGTATGGTGTTCACAGCAGCATGTATCGTATGACTGACACCTATTTCAGCTGTGATGGCGGCAATGACTGCGTCTTCAGGTTCGCGCCTGCCAGTATCAATCAGTCTTGCTAAAGAGTCTGCTTGCGCGATAGAATCAGTTGCCATATATTTCATGGTGAAATTATAACACAAGATTAACATTGTCCATCGCTGTAATCGACCGGCCGAGAATGGCGGGATA